GAAGCAGAAGCAGAAGCAGAAGCAGAAGCAGAAACAGAAGCAGAAGCAGAAGCAGAAGCAGAAGCAGAAGCAGAAGCAGAAGCAGAAGCAGAAGCAGAAGCAGAAGCAGAAGCAGAAACAGAAGCAGAAGCAGAAGCAGAAGCAGAAGCAGAAGCAGAAGCAGAAGCAGAAGCAGAAGCAGAAGCAGAAGCAGAAGCAGAAGCAGAAGCAGAAGCAGAAGCAAAAGCAGAAGCAGAAGCAGAAGCAGAAGCAGAAGCAGACGCAGACGCAGAAGCAGAAGCAGAAGCAGAAGCAGAAGCAGAAGCAGAAGCAGAAGCAGAAGCAGAAGCAGAAGCAGAAGCAGAAGCAGAAGCAGAAGCAGAAGCAGAAGCAGAAGCAGAAGCAGAAGCAGAAGCAGAAGCAGAAGCAGAAGCAGAAGCAGAAGCAGAAGCAGAAGCAGAAGCAGAAGCAGAAGAAGAAGAAGAAGAAGAAGACGAATAAGAAGAAGAAGAAGAAGAAGAAGAAGAAGAAGAAGAAGAAGAGGAGGAGGAGGAGGAGGAGGAGGAGGAGCCCCTCCCCCTCCTACTTATGGTGGTGGTGGTGGTGGTGGCAAACAAACCCACCAGGGGAGGCGGCCTTGCCACCCCGACCGAGCCGGGCCGCACGTAGGGCGCCGCCGTGTCCAGTGGAGGCTCCTCGCAGGGCTGGTGCTTCGGAGGTGGACTCCGCCTCCCGCCCCGACAGCCGCGCAGCCTGCGGTGGCTCCATGTGCCGGTCGATGACCGCCTCAGTTCGGCGGTGCGCCGGGGGGGGGGAGAGGCGGGGAACGAAGAACGACGCAAGCAAGAAAACTCGGAGATCCGCGCGGACTTCTCAGACTGGCGCCGGGGCCCCGGCGCCTCCGGTGCCGCCCCTGGCGCGCTCCGCGCGCCAGCGCGCCAGGGAGGGGGGTCCAGCGTCGATCCGAGAAATCCGCGCGGACCTCCGAGTTTTTATGTTCATGTCGTTGTTCGTTCCCCTGGAGAAGGAGCAGGCCTTCTCAGAGTGCGGCGGGGCTTCTCCGAAGCCCTCGCGCCAGCTGAGAGGTTTTTTCTGCGTCGTCGGTGAAGGCTCAGAAAACTTTTCATAAGGCCGGAGGGCCTCCGAGCCTCTGAGAAGACCCGCCCTTGCTCACTTCCTCCCCAGGCTTGCCGCCGATCGTGCTCCATTTGCCTGACGGCCCGCCCCCTGGCTTCGGCGTGTGCCGAGGCCGACAGGGTGCCCACCTGGTGGAGCACCACCCGCGTGCCAGTGAAGAGGCCGGCGGTAGGCTTGGCTGTTCTCGACGTTGTCCCGAGCCAGCGGGCCATGCACTCGCATGTGGCCGAGGAGGGTCTGAGCGCCAGGTGAACCCTGTAGGAGCCCTACGTACGACGCGCCGTGACGC